AAAAAAAAAAAAAAAAAAAAAAAAAAAAAAAAATTTTGACATGTTGACAAAGAAAAATAAGAAGCATTTTATAAAAAGCTTATGTTTATCGAGTGCCTTCTAAGTAATACTTTCTCTGCAAATGGTTTTCAAATGTTATTCTAAACCTTACAACACTGCAAAATAGTATTTTCATTTTAGAGCTGAGAAAGCAGGCTCAGGTTATTGGTATCACTGATACTGTTCTCCCTTTGACATGGATTTATCAGATATTTAAATCATGTTAATTGTATAAATGATAGCTCTTTCCTCCTATCCAAATTGGGGGATAAAATTTGTTTTGATATAGGAACACTTTTGTTTTGTTTTTGTTTTTTTGAGGCGTAGTCTTGCTGTTGCCTAGGCTGGAGTGCAGTGATACGTGGTACAATCTCAGCTCACTGCAGTCTCTGCCTCCCTGGTTCAAGCAATTCTCCTGCCTCAGCCTCTGGAGTACCTGAGACTATAGACATGCGCCACCACGCCTGACTAATTGTTGTATTTTTAGTAGAGATCAGGTTTCACCATGTTGGCCAGGCTGGTCGCCAAGTCCTGACTTCAAGTGATCCACCCACCTTGGCCTCCCAAAGTCCTGGGATTACAGGTGTGAGCCACCACACCCAGCCTAGAAACATGGTTTTTAACTTTTCAGACAGGGTCTCACTCTATCCCCCAGGCTGGAATACGGTAGATGGATCACAGCCCACTGTAGCCTTGAACTCCTGGGCTCAAGTGATCCTCCTGCCTCAGCCTCCACAACAGTTAAAACTATAGGCTCATGCCACCATGCCTGGTTAATGTATTAATTTTTTTGTAGAGATAGGGTACCATTGTGTTGCCCAGTCTTAATCTGGAACAGGAGTTCCAGACTGCCTCAAGCAGTCTCCCACGTCAGCCTCTCAAAATGTTGGGATTACATGCATGAGCCATCACACCAGAATAGAAATACAGTTGTTGACAGGTTTTTTTTCTGGTTTTTGTCTACATATTATGAAATTACTCTTTTCAGTCGCTATAAATATTTTAAGTTTGAACCTTGCAGAGAAAAGAAGCAGCATGACAAAACTACATTAGAAATTACAATGATTTATTCTTAGTTGAAGGAATGTTGATTTAATGCACATTTTTCTCTGAATTAACTTAGTCTAAGAAGGTTGTAATTCCTCTTTTATTTTATTTTGAGCTAAAAATACGTCAATGCTTAACTTCCAGCCCCATGTTATAGTACACTGTGCAGCAGAGAGAAGACCAGATGTTGTAGAAAATCAGCCAGATGCTGCCTCTCAACTTAATGTGGATGCTTCTGGGAATTTAGCAAAGGAAGCAGGTAATGATGACTTTATAAAATTTTCATAAAATATTAAGTGATTGCTGAGTTTTTAAAGATTAAAGTTTTGTAGATGGTTATTTATTTTTATATGTCATGAAAAACCATTCTGAATTCCATGAAAGAATAATGTAATGTAAAAATTTAATAGATTTGTCTTCTTTTTTTTTTATAGCTGCTGTTGGAGCATTTCTCATCTACATTAGCTCAGATTATGTATTTGATGGAACAAATCCACCTTACAGAGAGGAAGACATACCAGCTCCACTAAATTTGTATGGCAAAACAAAATTAGATGGAGAAAAGGCTGTCCTGGAGAACAATCTAGGTAAGATGTAATCTCTTCAGCCCCTGATTATTTTTGAGGACTTCAAAAATCATTTATACATATACATATAAATGTTTTTAAATTTAAAATGTTAGTCAATGAATACGAATCATTAAAGAAAAATTAGAATATAATGAAAAGAATAAAACATTCTAAGAGATAACTACTTTGTGAATCCTTTAAGACGGTTTCCACTATCAGTGTTTACATACTCTTCTTTACACATAGAAAACAAGTCAGATAATGTAAGCTTTTATAACTTGTTTTCAAAAAAAAGGGCAATATAATTTCTCTTAGAGTGAGATATTCTGTTATATGTTTGTTATATATATTCTGTTATATGTATGTTACTCTATGTGTCCTGTTATATGTATATGTATCAAGATTCTGTTATATGTATAGTGTCTTTTTTCTTATATGTGAGTTTATGTATAATACACATCTCCATATGTAAAAAGTATACACTCCTTAGAAAAAATTTAAAATGATTCAGAACCAAAGTTTTCATAAATGCTGCCTCAGAGAGATAAACACCAAATGTGGTTAAAAGTGGAAGCATTTTTGTATGTTGTCAAAAAATGTATGCATGTTGTTTCATAACCTGTTTTTTTTTCCCCCCAGCATCTTTGCATTTCAGTACAAGTGGAGCCCGCTCTGGGGTATCTTACTCCTATCAGTGACTTCATAGTACTTAATTTAATAATCCCCTGTACTAAAACTGCTGCCTTAGACTGTACTATGGCCTTGAGAAGCAGCCTTAGTATAGAATACCTTACTAATGGACATTTAGTTTTTTAAAAAGTCTTCTTGCATTACAGATTATTCTGTTGAAATCTCCTTGAATACCTTTGTTTTAGTTCATTTTGTGCTCCTACAACAATATCAACAACTCAGTAATTTATAAAGAACAAAAATTTGTTTCACACATTTCTAGAGGCCGAGAAGTCCAAGATCAGGTGAGGGTCTTCTTTCTGGTCCTCTGAAAGGAAGGAATGCTGTATTCTTACATGGCAGAAGAGCAGAAAGAGATGCACTCCTTCCTTCAAGCCCTTTTATAATGGTATGAATCTATTCATGAGAGCAGAGCCCCAATGACCGCCTAAATACTTCCCAAAAGGCCCCACCTTTTCCACATGAATTTTTGGAGAGGACAAAAACATTTAACCCATAGCAATATCTGTGTTCTCTTGTCATATAATTTAAAAGAAAATGCTTGACTTGCAGTTAAAGTGTTAACTATCCCATCAGCAGGGACCATTATAAAATCTAAATAATAATGAGTGGTTGTAAAACCAATGTGAACACTCATACACCCTTCACATAGATTCACAAATTGTTAATGTTTTGCCTCGTTTGTTTTATACGTATGTTTTTGCCAGACCCATTGATAATTAGTTGTATTTCATCTCCAAATACTTCACCTTATATATTCTAACAACAAGAATGTTCTTTACATAATTACAATGCAGTTATCACACATTGGAAACTGAACATTAATATGATACTATAATCAAATACAAATCTATGTAGGAATTTTCTCATTTATCCCAAAACTGTCCTTTATTGCTTTTAATTTTTAATCTAGCATCCAGTCAAAGACTATTTGTTGTGTTTGTCATGATAGGTTTTATTTTTAATGATGATGATGATAATACAGGATTTATATATATATAAAACTAGTCTAAATGACAGAAGATACTTAACAAATGTGGTTTTGAATTTTGTTTTTTTAAACAGGGTCTCAGTTGCCTGGGCTGGAGTGCAGTAGGGTAAACACAGCTCACTATAGCCTTGACCTCCTGAGCTTAAGCAATCCTCCCACCGTGAACGGCTAATTTTTTTACATTTTGTAGAGAGGAGGTCTCACTATGTTACCCAGGCTGGTCTTGAACTCCTGGGCTCAAGTAGTCCTCCTTCCTTGGCCTCCCAAGGGCTGGAATTACAGGCATGAGCCCTACCACCCTCAGCGTTTGACTGTTGCAATTATAGCTCATTGCAGCCTGGAACTTCTGAACTCAAGAGATCCTCTTGCCTCACTCAGCCTCCCAGGCAGCTGAAACTACAGGCATGTGCCACCGTGGCCAGCTAATTTTCTTTTTAATTTTTTGTAGAGATGGAGTTTTGCTATGATGCCCGGGCTGATCTTGAACTCCTGGCCTCAAGTGATCCTTCTGCCTTGGCCTCCCAAATTGCAGCATTATAGGCATGAGCCACTGCCCCTGGCCTTGATTATTGTTATCATTGCATTATCACAAGTGAACTGTGTCGTTTTGGTATATTTTAATTAAAAGGCAAGATTTCTACTTTGATATTATTTGAATCCACACACTTGTATCTTACATCAAAATTTAAGAACAGTCAGCTTTAAAATATTTGCTTTTATTCTTCTCTAGGAGCTGCTGTTTTGAGGATTCCTATTCTATATGGGGAAGTTGAAAAGCTTGAAGAAAGTGCTGTGACTGTTATGTTTGATAAAGTGCAGTTCAGCAACAAGTCAGCAAACATGGATCACTGGCAGCAGAGGTTCCCCACACATGTCAAAGATGTGGCCACTGTGTGCCGGCAGCTAGCAGAGAAAAGAATGCTGGTGAGAAAGATTCCCGAGTCCTATTTTAGTGAAGGTCCAGTTTGTCTTTTCCATGCTTGAACTTTATAGCTATATATGGAGTGTTAATGAGTGAAAACTAAAAGTGTTTTTTTAAAACCAGCAAACCAAACAAAAGTAGTTTACCTATAGTACACTATATTTATGAAGAATAAAAATACTATGCTCTTCTGTTTTAATGTATTTCTTATGTACTATAGACCCCATCATTTCTTTTATTGAAAAGTGGTGGAAAACTTTAATAACCTAATATCTTTTAAGAAGGTACTGTTTGTGGGGCTGGGCATGGTGGCTCACACCTGTAATCCCAGCACATTTGAAAAAGTTGGTGTTAAATATATCCATACAAAGAAAGGTTAGACTGATTTAGTTTATAATATTAATAATAGTATAACCACAGTTTTTTTAATGGATGAGAATTATGATTTTTATACCACCACGATATTTAAGAAAGTTTAATTAGCTCATCTTGAAAAGTGGTTAAGTTTTTGTTTTAGCTTAGGATAATTAAAAATACTCATTAACTTGGACTGTGTTTTCACCTCTAATTTTTTACCACTAAGTAAAATTGGAGCTTTTTTTATTTTAAAAATTCTTAAGGTTTAAATTCTAGAAATTGCTCTTTTGTGTTTTGCTGAGAGCATTGGTGGGAATTTGATTTTAGATATCTTGAGGGGAGCCTTTCAGAAAAAGAAGGCTGCATTTTACTTCCTGGACCTTATTTTAAATAAGCTTTTTTGTCAAACCCATTATTCTTCTCAACTTAAAAAGTTGAAACTACTGAATTTATTGCATCATTGTTCTTAGGATCCATCAATTAAGGGAACCTTTCACTGGTCTGGCAATGAACAGATGACTAAGTATGAAATGGCATGTGCAATTGCAGATGCCTTCAACCTCCCCAGCAGTCACTTAAGACCTGTAAGTATGTGGTTTTAAAAACCGTTAGCTCCATCGCTATAGTATATATTATTGATGTGTTAGATAACTTTATTTCTTAGTACTAATCAAAGTGAACTTTGCTTGTATACTTACTGGCCGTTCATAGTGCTACTTTTCTCTAAATTATCATCTGTAGGGAAGATCATGAGTAGAAAATGTATTATTGTCTCGATTGTGACAGGCATTTGGTTTATTTTTCTAGGAATGATCAACTCAGATTTCTTACAATAAGAGCAAAAATAAGTAGCAAATATAAAACTTCAAAATGGCCAGCTGCAAAGGTTCATGCCTGTAATCCCAGCAGTTTAGGAGGCTGAGGCAGGAGGATCCCTTGAGCCCAGGAGTTTGAGACCAGCCTGGACAATGGAGGGAGATCTCTGTTTAAAAAATGTGTGTGCATGCGTGTGTGCGTGTGTGTGTGTGTGTGTGTGTGTGTGTAGGGTGGGGCCGGGTGGGGGGGGATAAAACCCTCAGAATATAGTCCTTCACTTACTTTTGATTTTTTTTGGTGTTTATCTTTCTTTAAAGATTACTGACAGCCCTGTCCTAGGAGCACAACGTCCAAGAAATGCTCAGCTTGACTGCTCCAAATTAGAGACCTTGGGCATTGGCCAGCGAACACCATTTCGAATTGGAATCAAAGAATCACTTTGGCCCTTCCTCATCGATAAGAGATGGAGACAAACAGTCTTTCATTAGTTTATTTGTGTTGGTTTTGTTTGTTTTTTTCTTTTTTTAAATGAAAAGCATAGTATGTGGCACTTTTTAAAGAACAAAGGAAATAGTTTTGTATGAGTACTATAATTGTGACTCTTAGGATCTTTCAGGTAAATGATGCTCTTGCACTAGTGAAATTGTCTAAAGAAACTAAAGGGCAATGATGCCCTGTTTGCAGTAATTTTTCTTTTTATCATTTTGTTTGTTCTGGCTAAACTTGGAGTTTGAGTATAGTAAATTATCCTTAAATATTTGAGAGCCAGGATAAAGCAGATCTGCTGTATACTTTTCATATGAAATGCATTGTTCATTCTCATAACCTCCATATTTTCAGGATTTTTGAAGCTGTTGACCTTTTCATGTTGATTATTTTAAATTGTGTGGAACAGTATAAAAATCATTGGTGTTCATTATTTGCTTTGCTTGAGCTCAGATCAAAATGTTTGAAGAAAGGAACTTTATTTTTGCAAGTTACGTACAGTTTTTATGCTTGAGATATTTCAACATGTTATGTATATTGGAACTTCTACAGCTTGATGTCTCCTGCTTTTATAGCAGTTTATGGGGAGCACTTGAAAGAGTGTGTGTACATGTATTTTTTTTGTAGGCAAACATTGAATGCAAACGTGTATTTTTTTAATATAAATATATACATGTCCTTTTCATTCCATGTTGCTAAGTGATGTTTCATATATGTGGTTATACTCATAATAACAGGCCTTGTAAGTCTTTCGACCATTCATGAATAATAAATATGTACTGCTGGCATGTAACGCTTAGTTTTCTTGTATTTACTTATCTTTTTAAATGTAAGGACCAAACTTCTAAACTAATTGTTCTTTTGTTGCTTTAATTCTTAAAAATTACATTCTTGCGATGTAACATCTGATACATACAAAAGAATATAGTTTATATTGAAATAAAACACAGTAAAATTAACACTTGATCCAGAATGTGAACTTACCACCCAATTCTAGAATGTTAAAGATACTGTATCTATTTATGCCAACTGATTTTTTTTTTTAACTAAAAATAAATAGCTATATAATCTTACCTTATACAATGACCCTTGAACAGTGTGGGTTTGGGGGGCATCAATCTTGCACAGTCTAAAATCCACTGTAACTCTTGACACCCCAAATACTTAATTAGTAAAAACCTACTGTTGACCAGAAGTCTTATTAATAACAGTTGATTAACATATTTTATATGTTCTGCATATTATGCACTGTATTTCTTACAGTAAAGTAACCAAGAGAAAAGAAAATGTTATTAAAAAAATCTCAAGGAAGGGAAAATATATTTACTATTTACTATTCGTTAAGTGGAAGTGGATCATCATAAATTTTTTTTTTTTTTTTTTGAGACAGGGTCTCTCTGTGTCACCCAGGCTAGAGTACAGGGGTGCGTTCTCAGTTCACTGCCATCTCCACCTTCCAGGTTCAAGTGATTCTCCCCTCAGCCTCTCAAGTAGCTGGAATTACAGGTGCCTGCCACCACACCCAACTGATTTTTGTATTTTTAGTAGAGGTGAGGTTTTGCCATGTTGGCTAGGCTGGTCTCAAACTCCTGGCCTCAAGCAATTCACCTGCCTCGGCCTCCCAAAGTGCTGGAACTACAGGCATGAGCAACTGCCCCTGGCCTAGATCATAATGAAGTTCTTATTCTTCACGTTGAGTAGGCTAAAGAAATTAACTGGGGAAATTTTGCTGATACCTGAGTCCTGGGCTTACTGAAATAGTTTTGGGAATTGAGGCATACTAATTTATTTTTAAATGTTTCCCGGCGGTTCTAAGGTTGCCAGTCTGGGATTGCATTTGGCAACCACTGAATTAAAGTTTTGTTTTATATTTTAAGTTACTACATTTCGTGTAGTGCAAAATTAAGTTTCAGAGAGTAAGAAGTAGTATTCTTCTCTAGCCACCTATTTTTCATCTGTGGAAGAAATCAATGTCGATCAGTTCATTGCATATGTTTCTAGAAGCACACTGTATATAGAATGTAATCACAAAACACACGTCCATAACATCTACCCTTTCTTACTTTTTATTAAGGGATTTCATCCTAAGGACATCTGCCCTTTTTTTAACACAAAGAGTAACAACAATTCTTGGAACTTCTTTTTTTCACTTGGAATTTGTTGTATATAAATTATAATGAGTACCCCCTTTTTTTTTTTTTTTTTTTTTTTTTTTTTTTTTTTTTTTTTTTTTTTTTTTTTTTTTTTTTTTTAGGCAGCCTTGCTCTGTCACCCAGGCTGGAGTGTATAGTGGCACAATCTCAGCTGACTGCAATCTCCAACTCCCTAGTTCAAGCGATTCTCCTGCCTCAGTCTCCCGAGTAGCCGAGACGACAGGCATGCACCACCATTCCCATCTAATGTTTGTATTTTTAGTAGAGACGGGGTTTTACAATTTTGGCCAGGATGGTCTCAACCTCCTGACCTCATGATCTGCTTGCCTCAGTCTCCCAAAGTGCTGGGATTACAGGTGTGAGCCACCGCACGCAGCCAAGAATGTCCTTTGTAAAAAACTTCATTTAAAAATAAATCTTAAAGAAAAGTTGCCATGGTAGCATAAAGAATGCCTGTATTTCCCTTTCTAGATTTCCCAATTGTTAGCATTTAGTGACATTATCCTATCATTTTCTTTCTTTCTACATGCACACTATATATGTGTACTATTTTTTTTCCTGAACTGTTTAAGAGTAGGTTGAAGATGATGCTTCATAACCCACTTAGTATATACACCTCAGTGTGTATTTTCTAAAAATAAGGATACACATCTACGTACCCTATAGTGTCATCATAATGAAGAAATTACCATTCAATTCTATAGCATCCCATGCAGGTTTCATCCATTGTTCCAGTTGTCCTTTATAGGTCTATGTAGTCCAAGTGACTCGTGTTTGTCGCCATGTTGCTTTAGCTTCAGTATGGAATAGTTCCCCAGTGTTTGTCTCTCAGGGCCTTGACATTTTTGACATTTCTCTGAGTGAGAAACTGTAAGTTGACATCAATAGTTCCAATTCTAGTCTTGTTCCATAGAGTTTATTTTGGCTTTTTCCATGTTTGTAGCACCTTTCTCTTGACAGCAACCTAGTTCCTCATTTTTTTTTTTTTCCGACAGGGTGTCACTCTCGCCCAGGCTGGAATGCAGCGGCACAACCTTGGCTCACTGCAGCCTCCACCTCCCCAGCTCAAGTGATTTTCCCACCTCAGCCTCCTGAGTAGCTGGGACTACAGGCAGGTGCCACCACACCCAGCTATTCTTTGTATTTTTAGTTTTGCTATGTTGCCCAGGCTGCTCTTGAACTATTGAGCTCAAGCAATCTACTCACCTAGGTCTCCCAAAGTGCTGCAACTACTAGACATGAGTCACAGTGCCCTGCCCTCATTATTATATTTACTCATTTGCTTCATTCATCTATAAGAGTCATTCTGATGGCACTAGCCAATACTTCCTCTGTTCCCCACATTTCACAGGCCTCTGAGCCAGCTGAGCATCCCTAGACCCATGTGACCTGGCCCTGATGCCTGTGACTGGGTGGGAGGGGACACTCTACCTGGTTAAGGATCCTCCTGACCCATGGAGCACTGCACCAAGAGTCACATGTGCCGTCATGTACCAGCAGAGCACCAAAGAGAAGAAACTAGTTCTTTTTTGGCTGCGTTTATTCCATTGTATCAATGACAGAATCACAGTTTAATCTTGGATGTATAGATGGTCCCTGACTTATAATGGTTCAGCAGGATTTTTTGACTACAGTGGTGTGAAAATAATCACATTCAATAGAAACCATACTTCAAGTACGTATACAACCTTTCTGATTTTCACTTTCAGCATAGTATTTAATAAATTACATGAGATATTTAACACTTTGCTATAAGATAGGCTTTGTGTTAGATGTTGCCCAACTCTAGGCTAATGTAACTGTTCTGAGCATATTTAAGGTAGGCTAGGCTAAGCTGTGATATTCAGTAGGTTTATGTGTTATTAAGTGCATTTTTCACTTAGAATATTTTAAACTTTAGGATTCATCAGGATGTAACCTCATTATAAGTTGGGTATCTGTATTGGAACATAAATATACCCCTTTGGTAGCCAAATCATCTCATTAACATTAAATATGGCAGTAGGGTTTTTTGTTGTTTTCTTGTGTGTGTGCAGTAGATTTTAATTCAAGGGTAAGCTAGTCAAGAGAATTTTTTTACTTGAAGGAAGTATTATATATAATGAAAAGAACTCTAGATTCAAATGTGATTCTTCCACATACTAGTAGCAAGTTGCTTTTCCTTTCAGAGCTTGAAGTATTTTTTTAGGGTTAAATGAAAGGAATACCACCTATTTCACAAGACTGTCGTGGAAATACTTGGAACAGAGATACTAGCAAATGTAGCTGTGGACTTAACAAATGCCTAAGGGTTGGGGTATGGGGGAGAAATGGTAGTCTTGTTAATATTACCTCAATTTCAGCTGTAAGATATTAGGACTTTTCTCTCATAACTAAGACTACTTGGTTTTTCTTTGTGATTTTTAAGTATTTTCTAGATTTATTTTTAGTATTTTGGAAGTACATGTTAAAATATTTCAAAGAAGATAAATTATTTTTGTAACTTGTTTTGCCTAAGGCCTTCTGAAAGTTCTTTTCTGTATTTTGCTACAGAAATGGCCAGAATACTTGAATTTGTATGCACATAAATGTATCTGGAAATTGGATCCATTCACTCCATGTGATCGCAAGTGATTTACATTGAAAGATGGCCATGAAATTGCTCAGCTCTGTCTACAGTTACTTTTCTTTCTGTAGTCCCCACTTCAATTCTAATTTTTGACATATATACATGCTATATATTATTGAACAATTTCAATTTTCCCCCAGTTTGTTGTAGATTTAAAAAATGTTGCCTTTGAAATGAAAATTTGATCTAGAGGCTTTAAAATGTTTTAATGTGAGATGCTAAAAATTATTCAGGGTAAGTCAAACACTTTGTTATATTGGAGGACTCGGAATAATTTTTCATTTTCCTTACACAGTGTTACCCCCAGGCTTTATGTGCTTAGAACACATAAGGTCTTTGGGAAGTTGAAAGAGTGATGATGGTTCTGGCTTTCAGAAATGTTCTTCTATAGTTAGAATTCACCCTGAAACTAGAGGTCAAGAAAGGAAGAGGAAAAAATACTTGCCATATGATATGATACCAAATAAGATGACGCCAATGTCCATGTAGTTAGATAACATTTCAGGAGCATGAGGGATAGTCATCTTTCATAATGTTAACCCCAAAACATGGTGAATTTCTCTTACTGATCCATTACAGATCTATAATCTATGACCCACTTAAGTCTGCCAAACCAATTTAACACAATCTCTGCCTATAGACAGTGTTGTCAGACCCAGATTACTTATTTTATTTAAAATCTTGAAGACTTGTGAAAAAGATGTGAACTTTGCATCTTCTGGTTGAATACATTGGTTGCATCCCAACCTTAATTTTTTTAAAAATGTTTTTAATTGTGAAAAGAATAACGCGTACAACAAAGTACATAAAATGTGTGTACGGTTTAAAGAACCATGAACCTGCCACTCAGGTTAAGAGCATTACAAGTACCTTAGAAGCTCTGCAAATGCCTTCCCCTATTGTTTCTGTATTAGGCATAATTTTCTCTCAAGAGAAAAATAAACAATAGGGTGTGTGTATGTGCGTGTGTGTGTGTGTTTCTTTTCTTTTTTTTTTTTTTGAGATGGAGTTTTGTTCTTGTCATCCAGGCTGGAGTGCAATGGCACGATCTCAGCTCACTGCAACCTCCACCTCACAGGTTCAAGCAATTCTTCTGCCTCTGACTCCCAAGTAGCTGGGATTACAGGTGTGCACCACCACAGCCAGCTAATTTTTATCTTTTTAGTACAGATGGGTTTTCCCCATGTTGCCAGGGTGGTCTCGAACTCCTGA